AGGAGTTAGCATAGCGATAGGTTAGAGGCAGCCATAGCTGCCATAGCTGTAGTTAGTAGTGAGTGTGTGTGTGTGCTCGAGTGTTAGAGTGATGCGTGTGGGATATCCAGGGTGATCCAGTGTATGTGAACAGTGAGATGTTTGGGTGCTGAAGTCGCCATAGCCAATTGAGAGTGAACTCGTATCTGAAAGCCATATCTCTGAGTTTTGAGTGCCCGCATGTCGCCGGTATGCTGCGTTGCTGTTTACATGCATGAAAAGTGTGTTTGAGAACGAGTCTGATTGCAAGATGACTGGGATGAGAAGTTACCTCTCATCGCCAGCCTATACAACAATGTTGTGCACAGCACTACTGGCAAGACCCCCAACCAGCTGCATCTTGGTTGGAAGCCCAGATCTGCTCTTGACTTTCTGTTACCTGAAAATCAGCCAACTGCAGCACTTGGAAGCTTAGAGTTTGCTGTAAAGTACAAACAGATGCTGCAGCAGGCCGTAGAGCATATTCAGAATGCACACGATGCCATGGTGACATCTGAGAACAAACACAAACGACCGTCTGCATTTCAGGAAGGTGAACGAGTCTGGGTAAAATCATCTGAAATGGGCCAAGAGTTGGGAATTTCACGCAAACTGATGCCACAGTACGTTGGGCCTTGGGAGATTCTGGACATAGTACGACATCAACCCGATGACGCATCATATGTGATTCGCATTCCTGGTCACCTCCGTACACACCCTGTTTTCCATGCATCCCAATTGGCACCCTTCGCTGAAATTGAGCAGTTTCCCTCAAGAAGATCTATGCTGCCCCCAACCATGGATGGACACGTGGACATGGACGACACTGTTGAGCACAAGCTAATGCCTGTGCCCAAGCCTCCAGGCAGGGGACGCAATCCGAAACTGCAGATGCAGTACCGGGTGTGGTTCAGACACCATACGGATCCTAAAGAAGATCAGTGGTTCACAAGAGAAGAGCTAATGAAGACCGCTGCCCAAATTATGTCAAGGTATGAACGAAATTTGAAAGGAAAGCAGCCTGCTGTGTAACGGCTTCTCAGAGGACTATCGAAGTAAAGGAGGAGGGAGTGCGAAGGTTTATGCCTCGGCATAGGGCCCTGCAGCAGGCGCGTGCCCGCCGTAAGTGAAGGCGGGCCCCGTGAATCTCAATGCGCCCTGAACTCGTGAATTTTTGTAAATCTTGGTCGGCGCCGGACAGTTGTCACTCGCTAGTTGGTTACAATCCGCCTTGCTCTTGAGAATCCAAAATATGTGTGAGCCTTCCAGGCTCTTCCAGCAACGTGGTCGAAGCAGGGAGCATTGCACGTTTGTGCCTGGGTGGTTGGGCAATCATAACCGATTCGGACCCAGGCCACTGTCTGAATCAGGCCTGGGCGCAGACACTTTGGCCGAGACTGAAGCTACTGGGAGCTCGGTCTCGCGTGGGGGTAGCAAAGGCAAGCGCCCGCCTCTTTCCATATAGGAAAGGGCGGGGCGCATGGCTGGGTATTCGGGCACTTGCAAGCACATGCGGCAGTGCTGCTGGAGCTAGTGCTCGCGGGGCTGCTGCTGCGCTAGAGTGTGGGCAAGTGTGCACGCACGCGTGCGGTCGTGCGAGAAGGCAGGGCGCTGCTGAGGGCAGCGCCACAGCCACCTCCACGTAGCCGGGGCTCGGCCCAGTGGAGGTGGTGTTGGTCTTTGTGTATGAGGGAGAAGATGTGGGTAATGAAGTCAAGGTGGAGAGAGAGAGAGAGATGAGGTTGATGACGTGAGGGCACGTACCTCGTCTTGGCGATGGTCTACAGGGGTCGACATCTTCATGTACTCCGGTTCTGCTGCTGAAGTCAACAGGATGCATTTTCAATTTGTAGGCTGCTAGTAGCTGTGTAAAAGTAGTCTGGGTGCTAAGCGCCAAGTAGGAGGAAGGACTCTGGATACAGATGTTGGTGGTGGCGAGAGTAACCTCTCATTGACATTCGGATTCAGTGCTTTGTTTCTCCGTTGGTGGAATATCAGTGCATTACTGCTTTCTGGACAGCGTTTGGACTTGCTGGCTTTCAATGTGATTTTGCACTCTGGATTTCTGTCATTTTGCTATATCTCATTTTCCTTGCAGAGTGGTCAGATGGTTTTCAAAAAAAAGGCAAGAGGGGACAAAAGCCCAAAAGAGAGAGTGGCAGTGGTAGCTGGGCTGCAGCAACTATTTCCGTCAGCCTCACATCTGTTGAAGCCCATGTAATTACGAATTTACAAAACATTGCAAGAAGCTGCCTATGACAAGGGGTGTGCTGGAAGAATTGCTGAGGTTGGGGAGGGGGGGTGCAGGACAACCTAGCAATGCAATGCATCTATGTCAAAGAGGAGGAGGAGGAGGAAGGGGACGGATTGAGACAAGGAGAAAGACAACAGAAAGAAGAGAATTGGGAGGAAAGGAGGAGGGAATAGTTAGAGGGAAGAGGAAGAAGATGCAGGACCTCGATGTGTCGTTTGCAATTTCATCAGGGCCCTCTAACTCGTGACCCACTTCATTCTCCTTCCTTCATCTGCTGCACGACCTCCTCTGTGAGCAACCTGGCCACTTTCTAATCCCTCTGTGTCCTCTTCCTCCTCCTCCTCCTCCTCCTCCTCCTCCTCCTCCTCCTCCTCCTCCTCCTCCTCCTCCTTCTCGACATCCTCCTCCTCCT